AGAGTGGTGTCACTTGGTACCTCAGAATTCAGACTGAGCCAGGGATAATTTGGACAAGGAACTAGGGAGAGCCATGCCAGGCCAGGGGATGTGGAGACAAGTTCCCTAGCCTGGGGAAGATGCTGAGGAGGCCAGCATCTGGGCTGAGGGGTTTATGGCTCTGCAGGGACAGCCAGGGCTTAGCCAGGGAGCAGCTCCTTCCGCTTGCTTTTCCTGGCTTAACAAGCTTTTGTGTTACCCAATCCTGTGTCAGCCCTTCTCCTGCCCCAGAACACAAACATACCCAAGGAGACTGAGGAAGGGAAGTTTTGCAGTTCTTTAGCTGATCCAATTTCATCCTCAAACCAGGTGACAGGGGCGTCCTGTACCCTCCCACAGCATCAGCTGGGGCAAACATAAGCTTTTCCCTTTTTGTTTGTTTTTTTGATTGTAGGATTACTTTAATGCCAGCCCAGCTCCCTGGGATTGCTGAAAGGAGGGGGCAGGTCCCTCTCCTTCAGCAGGATCCAGGGTTTTGGCTGCAGAGCTGATCTAAGGGGTGGCTGGACCCTCCCCAAATACTGGGGTGGCTCTGGCTGTGGGGCCTCTGCTGTAGTGCAGCACTGGGGGCAGATCAGACTGTCAGGAGCCTCGGAGCCATCAACCTCATTCCTCATTAATCCTCCAGCAGGGCCACCTTCCTGGTGGGGCTGACAGGGGTGGCTGCATGTCCCCCCAAGGGCAGGGACACAGGCTGGACCCTGGGGCTGCAGCAGCAGTGCCCTTGCACCCCAGCCATCCCAGGGCCAGGAGCACTTGGGACTGCCAAGCCCCAGACAGAGGAAAGGGTGACCCATGGGGACAGAGGGTCAGTGTCACCCTGCAGGGTCCAAATACAGGGAGGTGTCATCCCATGGGCAGAGCCGGGGGAACGATCTGGTAGGGCCCATCCTCCCCAAAACCTCCAGGCTCAGTCTGCTGAGGGCCAGGAGACAGATCTGGGCAGGCAGAGCCACACCATGCCAGGCTCCCCTCTGCCAGGCTGCTTCATGCCAGGCTCCCCTCCCTCTCCCGAGGCCCCCGGACCGGTCCCCAGTCCCATCCCAGCCCCGCGGGGGTCCCCGGGGGAACTCACTCGAAGGCAAAGAAGAGAGCGCAGGTGCCGAGGATGAGGAAGAGCGTCAGGTAAAAGATGCCCTTCTGGCGGGCCATCATGATGCGGCCGTCGCAGCAGAAGGTGTTCCTGCCCGGCAGCTTCTCCCATTTCCGAACCACCTTCTTCCTCGCC